ACACTTTTTAAACTCCTTAGTTATAAAAATCAAAGCTCCTCTCCATATTCTTGTGTGCTTCATACGTGAGAAAGAAAGAAAAAGAAAGGGAAAACTTTCTTGTTTAATTTTTAGAGAGAGTTCTTGATTTTTCGGCCAAATTTTCCGGCCAAGTTTTTGGTCGCCAACGTTCCTAGCTAGCTACGTTATTCTTGTTCGTTGGTGTGTGGTTGGTCCGTACAATTTCCACACACGATAGCGGTTTTATCCTGGGAGGAGAGTGCCCACGTTTTTCCGGTACGGTAGGCGGGCACTACTACCTTAAGGACAGCTCCGGCGACTCCGCTGTCCTTCCACGGTGTTTTGTTTTTGCAGGTTAAGTTCATAAAGACCTCGCTGCATTCTGTCCTAGTGCATAATGTCCTCGCAGCCCGGTGTATAATGTCCTCGGAGCCCTGTGCTTAAAGTCCTCGCTGTCCAGTGCTTAATGTCCTCGCTATCCAGTGCTTAATGTCCTCGCTGTCCAGTGTTTAATGTCCTCGTACAACAAGGCCGTTTTGAAGATATAGAAATTTATTTTCCAACTTTGTTTATTTTGTAATATTCTGAATAAATTATAAATTCAGAATTTTATTTATTATTTATTTCCGAGGCCGTTCATCTTCCCCGTCCGTTGTAATCCGTACGAGAATTGTAACACTAAATTTAAAGGTTTGTTTTAATAAGTATGAAAAAAAGAATATAACGAAAAAATAATAGCACCATTAAAATTATTATACTACCTCTGTCCCATTGTCTTTGTCCACTTTTGACTTTTGAAACTGTTCATCTAAGGATTACAGGGGTAATATTTGATAAAAGAGGACTAAATATGGAAACCCCCCTGTTATAAAGGACCAAATATGAAATTTACTCAAAAAAATATTTTAAGTATATATGTATAATAAGTTAAGCCAAGTAAATAGTTATGCTATGAACTATTTGGATGTCAATATATTATTTTGAAGTGATTTTTGTTTGAAATTTTCAAAAGGATTTATTTGAATGATCATACTATGGTTAACCAAACAGCAAATGGACGAAGTAAAATTTTAAAGTTTCTTTTAATGACGTACCCTGACCAGGTATTGTCACGTTTTATCAAGTGGGTCAAACCACATGTTATAAGGCCGGATCGTATGTGTCCAAGTGGATGAGCCTATAAATAATCATACCACAACGTGCGCACGAGAACCCAACAATGACCCCGTGGGTCTAGGGTTCACTTCTGATTACTGGACCCGAGGTCACGGGGAGGTATTCGAAGTAAAACTACGAATCGACTAGTGCGCTATTCCACCCTAGTCACGTCTTAATCTCAAATATAAGGTTAACCTATAAGGAAAAAGTCTAATATTTTCTAAATATCCCCAAGTAATTACTAAAGTGGGATTATTTTTCTCCATGATTTTAAATATGTGAAAAACATTGGAATTATATTAAAGAACTTAAAATGTCCTAAAATATATTTACATGTTATATATGTCTATTGGTTACTTGCCACTCAGCTTTATGCTGAGCGTGTAGTGTTTAACTGCACACAGTACCAGTAAAGGAAACAACTGCTGAGGAGGGAAAGGATAGTCGTGGAGGTCGTGCCGATAAAAGAATTCTAGCTCCTTTCATTGTTTTTAGTAATGAATAAATTAAATTACCGAACTTACTCTATGTTGATTTGGGCCTGAATCCTAGTTGTATTTACTCTAATGTTTTTTTTATTTTAAGTTTTTTTTTTCAAATATTAATCATTCAACTCTTTAATTATTAAAATGAGAACTAATTCCAAATAAATAAATGTTTTACTAAGTAAACCCAATTTTGCTAGCGCTCCGGTCTGGGTGACTCGGGTCACCCAGGGTGGGGTGTTACATTTAACACCAGCTCATGTGGATAAAGCTCATCTTAAGAGACCATGGGACAAGGGTTCGAAGCCTAGCCTATGCATTTAATTTTTAATAAGTGTTTCATCTAAACCCATGAACCAGCTGGTTCAAGTCGGGTCGTCCGGGTCGGCGCTTTTCCCAATTCTGAACGGGTCAACTCAAAAACAGGTTTCAACAATGAATCGGACCGAACATGTGACTGGGTCGCGGTTCAAACCGGCCGGTCCGATCTGGTTTTAATAACACTGCTAAAAAGTATAATCCAATTTATCCCAAATATATGCATCTAGGGGTGGGCGTAAAATTCGTTCCCGTTGGACCGTCCCGGAAAATCCCAGATCCGTTTTGTAATTGTACCGATATATTGGGACACATTTTTTTTGTCCCGAACCCGTTCCGTCCCAATATCAAATGGGACATGAGCGGGACAGCTTAAATTTATACTGATCCCTCCCGATTGTCCTGTTTCATCTACTCTACTAATATATAATACTAATTCTAGTCCAAAATCCAAATACACTCATTCTTTAATTAATTAGTTATTTAATTAAATTAACTTCATGAGCTTGAAATTTATTTGGACCCGTTCTAGTCATTGTTTGTTGTTGGATGACTAGATGTTTCTTTTTTTGAATGAAATGTCACCCTCTTCCCTTTCTTATATTTGCGATTAGGACAAAGTAGGACGACCCGATTCCGTCCCGTTTTATTCCAATCCTGAATTTTATGGGACAAACTGGGATTAGATTGTGATCCGAACCGTTCCAGACCGTTTATATATAACGGGACAAGACGTGGGACAACCTAAAATCCGGACCGTCCCGATCCGTGCCCACCCCTATATGCATCAATATTTGGATTTGGATTAGTGTGATAATTTATATCATGACGGTTTCCATGACATTTTCCGACAATGTCATAGGATGCCTTAGGAACTCCGGTGTTTTGTCCGTAAAATTGACGGTTCCTACCCGCCTAACTCTTTCGGTAAACCCTCCATCCTCATCCAAACACACCTCCAACCCCCTTCAATTGCACCCCACAAGTTACTGTAGAGTGCAATTGAAGGGGGTGGGGGTGTGTTTGGATCGGGGTGGGGGTTTACCGACGATTAGGGGGTAGGAAATGTCAATTTTACGAACGGTGTACCGGAGCATCCACAGTTCATCCCATGACATGGGGTTCCAATGCCATGGGAACCCGACCGAATTTACATTGACACAAAATGCCAATGGAAACTTTTTTTATTGGAACTAGTATTTTGTGACAGTGTGAACCTTTAAAATGTAGTTCATGTCTTTGAGATACATTTCTTGGTGTACCCCTAGCATGGTTGTTCACAAAACTATGTTCATCCTTTAGAATTTTGTGAATGGACTTAAAAATCTTTCTTCACAATTCTCCAACGCGGGAAAAGAACCCTCGAATGAGGTAAGACATATATAAAGAATTAGAGTTAACTCGTTTTAGTCCTTGTAAGTGCGCTTACGAGTCAATTTAGTTCATGTAAGTCCCATGTAAATAGGAAATGTAAACCAAATTAGTTCTTTATGTAAAATTTATCTTCTAAAATTATAAATTAACACGCTAATTGATGCAAACGCTAATACACGCTCATTGCTCTTGCATCATTTAATGTCATAACTCATAATTTAGGAGATAAATTACTTTCAAAGTAATAACTTGATTCACATTTTCTTTATATAGGGACTAATTTGATTCAAATGAACTTACAGGGACCACAAAAAAGTGTGAGTACACTTAGAGGGACCAAAATGAGTATTAACTCGAAAGAATTACAACAAGAATTTCATAGACAAGGCATGACACAGGTCATGCCCATATTTAATAATTATAAAATAATAAACTACGACTACATATCATCAATCGTACATTCACATGTAAAGTTTAATATATGTATAGGGAGCGTCTAAAATGACACCAGTTACTTATACACCAATTGCTTACACCAGTTTGTTTGGGGTACCTACGGTGCTCCGTTTGTAAAAACGACGGTTCCTACCTCCCTAACCCTTCTCCTAAACCCCACCCCAGCCTCACCCTTGCCCCCCCCACCCCAGCCCCCCCCTCCCGCCCCCACCCTACCCTGGCAGTATACTGCCAGGGTAGGGTGAGGCAGGAGGGGGGCTGGGGTGGGGTGGGGTGGCAAGGGTGGGCTGGGGTGGGGGGTTTAGGGGGAGGGTTAGGGGGTAGGAACCGTCGTTTTTACAAACGGAGCACCGTAAGTACCCCAAACGAACTGGTGTAAGCAAATGACACCAGTAGCACTGATGTCATTTTAGACTTACCGATATATATATACACCAGGCAAACCATGCTCACTTTTAACAATTCTAGAAAAATATACTACGGTAGTAAAAATTAATTAAAAGGTCATAAACTACTAGTTGATCTAATTATTGCTAATAATATTCTCCATATGAAAGCCTTACTTGTTCCTCCATATCCATAAATAAAAAACATTTCACCAATGTTCTGATATGTATGGTGATTAGGATATTTAATTAATTATTAGTATTTATTATTTAATATTATTTAATTAATAGGGTTTAGGATTTAGTATGGGCCCGAGCCCATTAGGTCAATTAGCGTATCGTATTACTCTCTATATATTGTAATCCTCCCCCGTTATTATGCAATCAATCAATATACAAGAATTCTTTTAATCTCTCGTCTCTCTTCTCTTGGAGCCTTGAAACGCTCGAAGTTTTCTTATCTCTTTGCCTCCCCTTTCTTGGAGCCCGAAGATGCTCGAAGTTCTTCCCTATATCCGATACGATATTCGTATCAATTGGTGCTCTCATTGATTTGAACACCCAAAAAAACCCAAAAAAAATATTATTACAGATCTGGTACAATTTGATTTCTCTGCACATAAACATCAATTGAAGGAGTTTGATTGTGCATCATTATCAATTGAAAGTGCACAATCGAGAATTCAAATTCGTGATTGCACAGATTTGTCGGCCGACCGGAATAACCCGACAAACCACAAATTGTGGTGCCGCTACAGCTCCTTCGCCACCGTCAGTGCAATTTCACCGTCAACATTCAGTTCGACTTGAGTGGTTGCCGCAGATCGATCGCCACTTGATTCTCTTCCCCGGGTTATTGACGGAATCTACAGCAACTGGAAAAGAAAGAGATCTAATTGACGGAACTCGGGAAACGCTGTTGCCGCCGCCGAAGCAAGATATCAGATACGTATCCTCCAGCTCTCTCATCCGCAGTCCAATTTCTTGTCGTACACTGCTTGGTGTTTTTGTTGTCGTCACCAGATTCACACACACAAAAAAATCAACCTAAAGTGCAATAATAGGAGGCCAAAGCTTTGCCATGGGTGTCATTTTTTTGCCTGCCCTTGTGTAGCGTAATTGGATTTTCATCCAAGATTTTTTTTGCATCCAGGTTCTGTTTAATTTGAGGCACTTTGGTGGCTTGCTTTAATTTTTGGATTCAATTTGGAGGGAGCCATTTACGACGACTGAAGGGATGGATGTTTTTTCTCAATCGCAAAATCAAATACAACAAGATTTTTCATCCCGAATAGATGCTTAATTCAAGCAATTCGAGACTTTGTTTATGTGTACTTGTGCACTGGACAAACTTACTAATTTGCTAGAAATTGTTCTATATGGAGAAATTGAGCACGACGAGGGAATTTGTGCCCTTTATGATCACAGAGACGAAATTATAAAGAATCTCCGGTCATTTCGTCATATTGAAAGTCGGTCAAATTATGATTTTGATTTACACACATTTGACATTGAAATCTCTTGCGCGATACAGGATTTGGTACGTGGGCCCCTAATTTTTCCAAATGATATGATAATAGATTAGTTATATTATTTATTAATTAGTAGTTATTTAATATTCAATAGTTAATGTTGTTGAGGGTTTTTAGTATGGGCCTGAGCCCATTAGTTCAATTAGGGTTAGCATTAGGGTTTCTCTATCTCCTATAAATAGCAATATAATCCTTTTATTCAATCAAGCAATAAAGAAATATCAAAAACCTTAATCTCTTTTCTATTCTCTTGGAGCCCGGAAAATCTCGAAGTTTTCCATCTTTCTCTACCTCATCTTCTTGGAGCTTGAAGAACGCTCGAAGTTCTTCCCTATCCGATACGATATTCGTATCAATTGGTGCTTTCATTCTTGAACTCACCCAAAAAAATATACAAAAAAAAAAGTTTCAACCACAAAATCCAATTCCAAACCCGCCAATCCTGATCTTTCTAACGATTTCTGTAGATCCTGATCCTTGCAATGATCTCATTTTGTATCTCACCAGAAGAAAAAAATCAGCCGCTGGTTTTAGCCGCCTCCATCTTTGTGACGACACAAGAAAAAAATATCAGCTGCATCCCTTGCTGCGCCGAAAAAACACCAGTAAATTTGGTGCTAATTTTCGTTCAACCTTACACTTGCTGCGCCCAATCATTCAAGTTCAAGTACGGAGTGTAAATTTGGTGCTAATATTAAGTTTTGTTAGGCCAATTATTGTTGTCATTTGGTACGGAGGATTAGCAACCCAGCCGCAAACCCTATTCTGGCTCCGATCTATCAGGCACTCAGGTAGGAAATCTGTTTATTTTTCATAACTATGGCGTTGGTTTTGGACGATATTATCGTGACGATGAACTATGCATTGGACAAACTTCTTGACTTGTTAAAGAGGGTTCTTTATGGAGAAATTGAGTATGATGAAGGGGTGTGTTTGATTTTTGATCATGTGTATGAAATTATTATGAAGCTCAAGTCGATCCATAATTTTGAAGGTCAAATTGACTATAATGCATTCGACGTAGAAATTTTTTGCTCGGTACAGGATTTGGTTCGTGGACCTCCAATTGTGCCAAGTCAAATTCCTTTTGAGTTACAAATTTTCAGAACACACATTATGGGTATTATACGAAAAGTGACAGGTGCTCCACTTTCTCCACCAACATTGCCCCCAAAATGTGACGGAACCAAACCCGTGCAGTGGTTAATTAGCTACGGTATGTGAGTATTTCTAATTTTATGACGTCCCTTCAGCTGATCGTTTGCACCGTGTGGTATCAATGTTAGAGGGCTCTGCCTTGGCATGGTTTAATTGGCGTATGCGTGGCGGCTTGATTGATGGTTGGGAGGATTTTGTTAAAAAGTTCCAAATACGATTTGCTCCGCTACATGATTTAGATTATGTTTGTTTTGAGAAGACATCAGAGAAGTCTAGAGACACATTTGCCCACATGGTGGAAAACGCCAACACACTCCCGCCCCGATTGTGGAGGACACAAATGAACTAAAGGAATCAAGCAAGGGATCTTTCATCAAGGAGGACAAGGATAGCGGGTCTGACGTCATTGACAATGATGGTGGTGTTATTGATGGAGATGATGGTGCTACTATTACAATTGATAAGCTATCCTACAAGCCAGATTCTACACCTCGTGAATTACATGTGCCACTAAATGCCCTAATGGGGGTAGAAATTGCAAAGTATAACGTTCTAGAATGTGTCAACAAGGTGGCTAGTGAAAATTGTAACTAAGCGGCCTAGTTAATTTCTTTGGATACCATCAAGTTGTTTGATCTTGTCAAGTCTGAGCACCTAGTCTAGAAGAAAATGATTCGACGAGAGTTTGGTCTTGAATTTTATTTATGCCTATATACTTCACCCGAGAAGCCTCTTGAAGATTGGTTAGCAAATGGATGTTTCTTCTGGTTCATTATGTTCTCACATATCCAAAAGCATGAGTGAGATCCTCCACCTTGAGGACAAGGTGGTTTTTTAAGGGGGTGGGAATGATATGTATGGTGATTAGGATATTTAATTAATTATTAGTATTTATTATTTAATATTATTTAATTAATAGGGTTTAGGGTTTAGTATGGGCTGAGCCCATTAGGTCAATTAGTGTATCGTATTATTCTCTATATATTGTAATCCTCCCCCGTTATTATGCAATCAATCAATAATCAAGAATTCTTTTAATCTCTCGTCTCTCTTCTCTTGGAGCCCGGAAACGCTCGAAGTTTTCCTTCTCTCTTTGCCTCCCCTTTCTTGGAGCCCGAAGACGCTTGAAGTTCTTCCCTATATCCGATATGATATTCGTATCATGTTCTTTTCAACTACTTCAATCACAAAGAAATATAGATGTCATTGCTTGTCGGTTAGTTTGGATAAAAGCTGACCGTGCTCTTATTCCAAACATTGTCGATCATTACACTTTTTATCATTAACCAATCTATTTTCGCACGAGTGAAAATAATCAGCTCTTGGAAATGGCAAACATTGAAATTCATAAAACTCCTACTGTGACTACAGAGCAACTTTCGATCGATTTCCGCGAGAACATAATTTTTAATCTCTTTAGACAAATGTTGTAACACCCCAACTCGCATAACTCGAATAAACTTATTAGCGAATCGAGTTGCTTTTAGATTGGTATCCAAACAACTCAATTCCAAAACAACTTTTAAAACATTTAATCCCAAAACTTCAACATCCATTAGAGTAATTGAAAAACATTGCGAAAGCCTTTATAAAATCTCAACAAGTTTGGAATTCAACCCATAAAAATAATAAATAGCTCTTAAGACAACAATTAATTAAACGAGTCTTCAACTACATCCACACACATCTCTTTGCCCTCATCGTCCTCCGAGATTTGCTCTAGGTTCACCTCGATCCTGATTAGCTGCGTGTAGCAAAGGAACAAATGCGACATGCCCAATATTGAAGCTAAGTGAGAAATATCTAACATCCAGTTATACATATAGATATCATCACTAGTTCATAACATCACACGTTATCATGCATATAAGTTCATCATGAATATCAACATAATAATATAATTCATAAACAATATTGATAATATAAAATATTATGCTCTCGTTACTTTTGTAAACTAACTTACTTGGCTCATAACCTATTCTAGATTTAAGCTCATACTGATTCTGACTTACTTATTGGAGTTATGACCTCCCCTTTGAGAATAAAGATCAAGCTCAACCAACTGGGGAGTTCCTCGTTGGGTGGGTGAGATCCATGTCCCCTTCGGAAAGATAATTCATACATCCTCGTGCGCATATTTATACCAGAATAACCATTGGACCCAGCAGGTGCCACATGGCTCTAATCTTTCTATGATTATGGCATAACTTGCCTCTATTCCATTCAGGTCAAATCCTAGAGTTCCTCTAAGTTCATATGTTACTTTAATGTTACATTAGATTCACAAGTGTATAACTCATAAATTAGGCATATCAACAAAACTAAACATGATCAAACATCAGCCTAGCGTTGGGTGTGAACACCCATTCTTACCATCATGCAACATACAAGGTCTTAGAATAAATCCCTGACACGAAAATAGACTTACGAACAAACTCTAGGTACCAGGCGGCACCTAGTCCAGTACTAGGGTACCGGCTCGGACAGAGTCCGCCTGCACCAGATGGCCTGTGCCGGTAGCAAGCTAATATTCTGGCGGTAGGGCCTACCATTCATCCGGTACCTAAGTACCAAACAGTTGCAGGTTCCGGATGTACCAAATGGCTTATGGCGGTACCAGGGTATCAGTAGGCTGGTACTTCGTTACCGTCTATCGCAAAGTGTACATGTTTACGCACCAACTCGATTTTACTGTGAAACCAACATTCAAACTCGGAAAATTCAGCATGAATACATTTATAAACTAAATCCCAACTATATTCAACCTAATCATGATCAAACATAACCCATTCAAGAATTCAAGTCAACAAATCTCAACAGACTACCTTAAAATAGGTTTTCACACAATTCAAGCGTAATGATCATATGAACGTAAGATTCAAACCTATAAGCATAACTAGCATTATATATCCACGTAGTCACCTCGATGATTATACGAAGAACGAATTAACATACAAACAGTGACGATGGCGTTGTAATGGTAGATTTCTCTTCTTTTTCCTTATTCTTATTCCTTCTGCTTCTTCCTTCGTGCGTTGTTTTGTTTCCTTGCTGTTGTGGTTCCGGTCGAAGAACGAGAGAGAGTGGGGAGTTTGACGGAGTCGTGAGTATGGCAGAAGGGAGGGATTTAGGTGTGTAGGGGTGGTATTTATAGATATGGGATTTGGGCTCCGTAATTAAATAACGTACCTCGACATAAAAAATCTTTTTCGAGCCAACTTACTCTGAATTCAAATTCTGTTTGCACCGTTGGATTTATCTTGTCGAATCCTACACAGTGGTATAATTTTTAAATTTTATTAACAAATATTTAAAATGAACTATAATTCCGTCTCAATAATTAATTTAATTATTCTTGATTGCTAAATAATTATGGATACTGAGCTCACAACGTTGTTTCACCAGAGCACCTTGACGAAAGAAACGAATTTGTTCCTCAATTCCTTCACCTCACGCGCTAAGATCTGAACGAGTTCTTCTAAGTGAGATTCTCATCGAGGGTGACTGCTCCCTTGGGTAAGACATGAGACAGGTCTGAACGATACCTTCCCAGCATAGACACATGGAACACATTGTTGATCTTTCTCAATTCTGGAGGTAGCTCTAGTCGGTAGGCTACTGGTTCTACTTGCTCGATAACTCGATAGGGTCCGATGAACCTAGGGCTTAGCTTGACCTTCTTGCCAAATCTCAAAACCTTCTTCCAAGGAGTGACCTTAAGGAGCACAAGGTCATCAACATTATACTCGATCTCTCAATTCTTAAGGTTGGTGTAGGATTTCTGACGATTGGAAGCAATCTACAACCTATCACGAATCAACCAAACTTTCTCTTTAGTTTTAGAAACAAGATCATCAGGTCCTTCGAGCTTGGGATCCCTCAACTCAGTCCAACAGACCGGAGTTCTACAATGTCTTCCGTACAGTGCCTCAGTCCAACCAAACTTTTTACTACAGATGACCAATGCCCATGTGTTTCAACCACCACCACCACTTCGTTTGATCACTTCCAAAACGTTGAAAGACAATGATGCTGAGGAGTTTCTGGGAGATCAAATTGCCAAACCCCAGATTGCTCTTGATTGAATCGAGTAAACTGCTTGTGTGCTAAGAAATCCAAACATACCTCTTGGCGATCATCCAAAACTTGCATCCCAACAGTTTCGCAAGGGAGCCTATGAATGGTGGAAACGCACCGATGAAGATCAAAACACACCCAAATCCCGGACTTGAGAATTCTTCGATTGGGCGTTCAAAAAAGAGTATATCCCAGCTCGGTTTCGTAAAGAGAAATGCGCTGAATTTGTTGAATTGAAGCAAGGAGATATGACGCTTCTTGAATGCCGACAGAAGTTTGCCCATCTCACTCAATTTGCACCCACGCTGTGAGCACAGTGGCTGACCGCATCGAAGAGTTTCGCAAGAGACTTCGACCTGCCCTCAGGCCACACGTATCTATTTACTAACTGTGGATTTCTCTCAGTTGTACGACCTAATCATGAAAGCCGAGAAAGATCTAAGTGACTACTAGGAAAGCCTGAAAACTAAGGGGGGTGTTTTCAATCAAGATTTTAAAAGATTTCTTTAGATTTTTTAAAATTCATGGATTCTGTAAATTAAATAGATTATTTTAAGCTTACGCAGTTAAAAGTGGGGTGGAGTGATTTTGGAATGTCATGGTTTGAGTGGTATTTGCTGATAAAGTGTTTTTCAAAGTGTTTTTTGTTGGAGAACCGTTTAAACATGCCAAAGAGTGAAAACCAATCAAAAAATGTTGAAAACCACTTGGTTGGTTCAGACGCCAAATGCCAACACCGATAACCGAATGCCTAACGCCGGTTTCTGAAAGCCGAACGCCGGATGGCTTGGTTTTTTGTTTGGGCGAACACCAAGTATTTTTTAATGATTTAAACATGTTTGAAAAACATTTTTATGATGTAAGAAATGCAATAAAAAGAATTTAGCCTAAAGAGCCAAGGTGTAAAGATTGTGTCGGTCTTGATCACAATAAAGACCGACTCAACGACACTAAGACTACGGTCTTCGTTCTTGGTCTTCTTTTAGTTCTTGTTCTCAACTTCGTTCTTCGCCTTGTATGTTCAATGTTCTACTTGATCACGGCGGTTTGGCATTATCAAAACCTGTCATAAAAACGAACACGGCTTTAGTACGAAAACGTGACAAGCCCGTGTTTCAACAATTTCCCCCTTTTTTATAATGGCAAACAAGGCGAGGTTATGCATAGGAGGATTATTTTAAGACTTTTTAAAAAAATGTTCCCCCTTAATAAATGCAATTTTATTTTCAACAAGGTATTTGTGATGAGAAAAAAATTCCCCCTTAATTTATGCATAACCTTTATATCTTCCCCCTTTTGACATTAATAAAAAAAATTAAAAGTAAACTTTAGAATTAAAAGTAAACTTTTATTCATTAAACCAAAAGGGAAATATGGAATACAATGGAATGAAAATTAAAAGAAGAACAATCATATAGAAAGAGGAATGAAAAGAGTCTAGGAGTTGGCTTCGTCATCCTCATCGTCATCCTCGTCGTCCTCGACGTCCATGGGATCGCTGTCAACCGCATCCTCGAAGTCGGCCTCGTCGGGGGAGGAGGATGGAGCGTAGGAGTCGTCTCCTCATCCTCGCCTTCAAAGTTTTGGCCGAGGATGGTGCCGAGGATGGTGCCGTTGATGCCGCGTTAGAACGCCCTCATGTCGTGGTGTTGGCGTTTCAGCGTCCAGTCCATCCTCTCCATGTACTGCCCCATGCCATCCACCGTGAGGGTTAGCCGATTCAGGGTGTCGGCTATGGACTGCAATGAGGCCCGAGCGGGAGTGGGGGCAGGGGCACGGGCACGACTCGGTCCGGCGCCGTCTCGGTTTCCGGACTTCTTCTTGAAGATGTTGTCGACGATGACCCAAAGCTTCGTCATCTTCGTGCTTGGCCCGGCGATGTGGATGTCGGCGGAGACGATGAGGTCCATGACGAGGAAAGCGTATGGCAACTCCGCTCGTGGAGAATGGAAGCGCAATCCGTCATGTGAATCATGACGTATTTCGCCCAATTGATGGAGGCGCCGTGCATGATCGCATGAATCGCCTTCAAGTCGTCGTTGAAGAGCGAGGTGTGGCTGCCATCCTGGGGGCAGAAGATCCGGGTGAGGATGTAGAGGAGGAGGCGCTTCTCCGGTGGGGCCGAGTGAATCGTCGGTACGCCGCTGTGACGGATCAAGTTGGTGATCCCGAGCTCACGGATGACGGCGGCCTCGTTGTTGAGGATTCAATCGTCGCCACCATACGACGCGATGTCGTCACCTCAGATGGGCAGCTCTGTGACCCGAGCAAAGGTAGCCAAATCAATCTCCATGTCGTAGAGATTGATGCTACTGCGGATGGTGTCCCCGTCCCGGCGGAGATTGGAGTAGAAGGCCCGAACATAGGCGGGATTGAAGGAGGTGCGGCTCTTGGAGACGAAGGGCCACAAACCCGACTTTTTGAGTTGATTGTCGAGGTCGTGGTACCCCTTCTTTCGATAATGACTTTAAAAAGTGTATATATATATATATATATATATATATATATATATATATATATATATATATATATATATATATACGATTAATATAAAATAACATTATATATCTAAATTTGTAACACATTACCTCAGACACGGACAATGATGGTTTTTATAATCCGAAATTAAAATTTTCTAACATATTTAATTAAATGATCATTTAAATGAGTTACCTTTTAGTATTCCATTTAATTTTTTCTAACATTTTCTATTTGAGGAAATCTACCTGAATAGTACTAAAATATAAGAACTTTTCCAATGTTATATTATACGAGTATGTTTTTATTTCCCAATGTAGTACCATTGTTCAATGTCTAGTGGTCATTGTTCAAGTAAATTTCCACTGCCACTAGACATTGTTTAAACTAAATGTCCAACACTATCGGACATTATTCATGCCACTAGACATTATTCAAGTATTATTTAGTGAATAAAAAAGTTGAAGTACTACATTAAGGGCCTGTTCTTTAGGGCTTGAACTCTTACCTTCCAGTTTCTTCCAGTTTCTTCTAGTTTCTTTCAGTTTTTTCTAGTTTCTTCCAGTTCCTTCTAGTTTCTTCCAGTTCTTCCAGTTTCTTTCAGTTTTTTCTAGTTTCTTCCAGTTCCTTCTAGTTTCTTCCAGTTCTTCCAGTTTCTTCCAGTTCATTCCAGTTTCTTCCAGTTCCTTCCAGTTTCTTCCAGTTCCTTCTAGTTCCTTCCAGTTTCTTCCAGTTCCTTCCAATTTTTTTTCATTTTCTTCGAATTCTTTCTACTCCTCAACCAATTACTCTAAAAATGATATATTTCAATGTGATTATTATTATTATTATTATTATTATTATTATTATTATTATTATTATTACAACTGTTATATTCATAACTGAAGTTTATAAATTATTTTTTTTATCTCACTATTTTTACGATTCACACTTATTATTTTTTTATTCAACTTTTTAATATGAATAAGACATTTTTTTGTATATAAGTCTACACGATAAAACAGGAAAACATCAATATGTTAAATTTTAGTAAAAAATTATGGATAAAATAATTATCTTGAATGTTTTATTAATATAACTTTTTATAAAACATCTCAATTTTCCCTTTATTACTTAAAAATTGCTCATTTTTCTAATTTTTATAAAAAAATTATAAGTCAAAAGATTTTAGAGAGAAAGACTAAAATATGAGTAAAACATAAAAAATGTAAACAAAAAAGTTCTATGTCTTAATTCCAAAAATAGGAATTCAATGAAAATAAAATGTCAATCATAAAAGAAACAATATGTTTGATTATGTGACATGTATGATATTTAAAACAAAATGTTTTAATATATAAATTATAATTACAAATACATTATTTATAATAAATACCGCATAAATAAATTGAGGTGCAATATAACTATACAGCTTTTTTAAAATTTAATATTTTTATATTTATGCTAACTTTATATTATAATTATTTTTTGTAAAATTAGTTTTTTGTATTTAAAAAATAACAATATTTTTTTTATATCTTAAAGACATTCACTAAGATAACATGATGATGATGATTACGTTGATGATTATGATGATGATGATGATGATTATGATAATGATGATGATGATGATGATGATAATAATAATAATAATAATTTATAACAACAAGAATTTAAAATAAATATTTTTAAAGTTTTTTTTAGTTTTTTCGAGTTTCTTCCAGTTTTTTCCAGTTTCTTTCAGTTCCTTCCTGTTTTTCAGTTCCTTCCAGTTTTTTCGAGTTCTTCTAGTTTCTTCCAGTTTTTTCAGTTTCTTTCAGTTCCTTCCAATTTTTTCCAGTTTCTTCCAACATCCAGTTAACAGGCCCTAAGAAAAGACATATCTTTAAATACTACGGAGTATTTAGTACAAATTTCACTTTACAATTCTCTTTTTTTTGGATAAAGCTATTTGTACCCCATGTTTTGTACCCCATTTTGTACCCTGTAGCTTTGCACTAAAACTTTGTGTTGGTGTAAAACTAATTTTTGTTAATGCACCAACATTTTGTGTCTGTGTAAATTTTTGTTAACGCACCAACACTTGTGTCGGTGTAAACCATCAAAATGTTTGTGTATAACTACGGTGTACAAATGAGGTACAATTTGTGGTGTAATTGTAGCATGGCCCCTTTTTTTTTCAATTCCTTTTTTAATTTTTTGTAGTTTCTTAACACCTCCAAAAATTCCAACCAGTTGTATATTTTCCGATCCGCCGTAGCGGCGAGAGATAATTTGTGAGTGGCCACCAAGTCACTGACGCTACCGCCGAGCAGGTGAAGTTTTTCGGAATGGGAAGTGAGGACGAAATCTCGATCGAAGCGGCGGCGGCTGCCCGTCGAGAGCGGCTGAGGGCCCTCAGATCTGCCCAAGAACTTCTGGAGACCCCCGACGATGATAAGGACAACAGTTCCAGCCAAGACCAGGAAGAAAAGTAAGCACTACTACTAATCACTGAATTTTCATTCAAACTTTCAATGTTCATCCACTGGTTTTGATGATATTCAGTAGGAATTTGAATTTCTTCGTTAATTTTCTGAGAGTCTGTTTTGTTTTTGTTTTTTTCTGTTTTTGGCAGCTATGAGAATGTCCAACACTAATACTACTAATCACTGAATTATCATGAAAATTTTCAATGTTCTTCCATTAGTTTTCATGATATTGAGTTGGATTTTCTTTGTTAGTTTCTGAAGTTTCTTTGTTGTTTTTGGATTTTTTTTCCTGTTATTGGCAGCTATGAGAATGTCCGGAGCTACTACTAATCACTGAATTATCACTAAAAATTTCAATGTTCTTCCATTGGGTTTGATGATATGGAGTAGGAATTTCTTCGTTAATTTCTGAAGATTCTTTGTTGTTTTTGGTTTATTTTGTTATTGGCAGCTACGAGAATGTCCTGCACTACTAATCACTGAATTAGCATTAAAAATTTCAATATTCTTCCATTGGTTTTGATTATTTGGAGCAGGAATTTCTTCGTTAGCTTCTGAAGTTTCTTTGTTGTTTTTGGTTTTTGGCAGCTATGAGAATGTCCAAATGAAATTTCGGAATTATCTTCCTCAAGACAAGCACCTTCAAGAGGGTAAACTTGCTCCTCCCGTTTTACCAAAGTTCAATGACCCTGTAGCTAGCATACCTGCACCTGAAGAGAAGGAGAAAAGTGAGGACCCTTTCATGAATATCGCCCCGAAAAAACCTAATTGGGACCTGAGGAGGGATGTTCAGAAGAAGCTTGATAAGCTCGAGAAACGCACACTCAAGGCTCTACATCAACTAGGGGGTATGTTCTTTGTTCTGCTTCATTCTTATCCTGTTAATTAAGGCTATATTCCAATTATCTCTTTTTTTTGCTTGAGAATGAAGTATCACTGAAGCCGTTTCCTGGTTTTCTTTTATGTTGATTAAATTGGTTGACTTGATATCTCCCCTTTTCATGATTAACTATAGCAAATATTTATGCAACAATGTGTTCACATAAGAGGTTGGGTTTCTGTGCCGCCGAGTTTCGTCGTCTCGCATCCATTGTCAATGGAGCTAAAAGTGTCATTATCGACAATGTTTTAGCTTCAAATAATTACACTTGGTCGTGCCCACCTTATGAGTTGGGATGGGCCCCCTAATCCCTATGGATTGAAAAAAAGTGCATAGATTATAGAAACTCAAACCAATATGGTCCACGAAGGTGTGATTTATGTAGTTGGGGTGCTGCCCATAATATAAATTGCTAGATTCACTACTCATCTCGATATCTACTTCAGCAAAATGACACATGAAACTTCCGTTGCTTCTTGCCTTCTTTATATGACGCTTTGGGTAGTAAATGCAGCAACATGTTAAGTTTCTAACAAAATACTGCGTGCATCTTGACCTCATAGGAACCTGCAGAGTTAGGGATTACCGACCTTCCTCATCTTTTATTGCACTTGCCTCAAAAGGGCATTTTATGATACTCCATATATGATTTTAACTTATCAAAGATTACATAATTTTTTCTTCTACTGGACAAACTATTTCTATAAAAATTTGAAAATTAATGTCACAATAGATGTCATTTTTTTGTTTGCATGGAAAAAATTTATCTTTTGCTATGAAGAGACAGTTGTGTCAAGGAACCAACTCAACCAAAAGCTCAAGCTTGTGCTCAAGCTTGTGGTTGTCGCCCAGAAAAGGTTTTTTATATTCTAACACGCCCCCTCACGTGCAGGCGTAATCTTTTTGAGCCTTGCATGTGAAATCTTAAACCTTTTAAAACTGGGTGACACTGAGTTTTAAATCTGTGACCTCTTAGTCAACAAGGCTCCTATACCATGTCAAGGAACCAACTCAACCAAAAGCTCAAGCTTGAGCTCAAGCTTGTGGTTGTGGCCCATGAAAGTTCTTTTATATTCTAACAAGTTGTAGTTAAATCTTAACAAGTTGTAGTTAAATCTCAAAATGGTGTGGCCTTTTTAAGCATAGACTGCTATGCTTTGATAGGTCATGTCAAGAAGAGGTTAATGAAATGACGCTACAAAATACTGTTAGTATTTGTTTTAAGCATTGTGGTTTCAGTGGTAGTGCGAATCTTTTCAAAATTGGAAGCCGATCAATGCTTCTAAATTTCAAAAATAGTTGTAACTGTTTTTTTCAAAATGATTTGATTCAAACTCATAGCCTTCATCAATTCAGGTTCTGTTTATAATTGAATAATCTAAGCATCCTAAGTGATATATCCAAACTTTTCTTGAATGATTGAATGGAAATTGATTTCTTGGGAAGTGAATTGGGTACTGGGTAGATGCCATGTTTGGCGAGTAAATTCATTTGTATCATCTATAGGTATTGTTTGTTGCATTTTCCATAGTTTTAGATATTTACAAACGTTCAGAAGGTAGACTTTTTTTGTTACTCCGTTTCATTAGAGCATTTCCACCTTAAATTTCCAAACACATCCAACAACTCCAAATGGTGACGTTGGTTTTACTTTACCGTTTGTCTATTTTTTTTCAAAAAAAACTTTATTTCAAAAGTGTACTTTCGTTTCTTCCCCAAATATTCCCGTACTTTTTAGTGAATGTTCTTGTGAATAATTATCCATCAAAACAACACCAACAAACACCTAAAACCCAAAATATCTCAACAATCTTTGTGCTCCAATTTGCTTAAACGCTCAACACCATCCTTCACAATTCACTTTGTTTAATGTATCTACTTTCATAAATGAGAATGAAATTTGTCAAAAAGCGTATTTGGCAAGCACATGCGCCAACCAACGTCTAGCTATCAATTACTCCCTCCGTTCCTATACAAAATTCATTTTTCAGGTTGATCGATGCTTGATTGAAGTTATTTTCAATTGACTTTATTTAAGTATAAGTGTAAAATTTTAAAACACTGTTATATAATAAAAAATCACAGCATAAGCTTTATAAAACAAGACGTGGCATGACTATTTTGTTGTAGTAAATTATTAATGTAAATCAGGAAGGGAGATATAGTTCTTGTGAAGTTTATACACACTGGCATGGGCATCATATTTTAAATCCATTTCTCGCAGCATAAGGTTTAGTCAATTTGAAGTGTGCTCCCATATCGTAGATCCATTATTCACTCCACCTATGGTCTGAATTGAGTATACTACATCTAATAAAAAGCTGTCTGGGTTGTATATGTAGTGCTGGTGTTTTATGCCCTACATTTGCATGTTCATGCTTATTGTTTCGTTCATTTATTTGCAGAGGAGGAAGAGAAAAGAAGATTGGCAGAAGAATAAAGCGAAATCAGAAATGGTACTTTTAGTGTTGTAGCCCCCCCCCCTCCACCCCTATTTCTTTTCATTAGGGATTTTGAACACGCTACTTACAAATATCAGATGTACCCGTTTGCCACAACTTTGTGCATTGTTAGTAGTATCATATAAGTCAATGAGTGATGATATTAAAAGGTAAGTTCACATATTGCCTAGATCATGTCCTAACTTCCATCTATACCCCTATCATTTTCCCAAGTCAATGGTTTCGTGTACGTTTATCAAAATTCTGCTTAGCAATGCCGTGATTTAGGTAGAATGAAGTGGTTTGGAAAAACTTGTGTTATGATTGTGAGAGTGATTTTTTACTTGTAGGTAAATTTGGAGGTAGAGACCATCCCTATGTCGGATATTTGTTTACCCTAAAGGTTATCTCGGTCTCTTTTTTGTTCTCACAGACACGAATTCACAGACATGATCATCATGTTCGTGAGTTTGTGTCAATGGAAATGAAAAAATGTCGGGATTACCCTCGGGGGAAACTTGACTTTTTCCATCCGATTGACCTTCTCGCGGGGAGGGTCTTGTGTGGGTTCAAGATATGGTTGGGGAAATTGAAAAAAAAATGTTACTAAGTGATGAACTTTGATATCTTGAAAATAAATGCTAACAAAATATGGTTTGGCGTTCTCTTCCCAGCTATTAAGTGAAATAGAAGTTAACACCATCAGTTTTTAAAGTAAAATGAAGGTTAAATTTAATTTGGAGTAAATTCCATAATTGGTCCTTTATTACATGAGGGTTTCCCTATTTAGTCCTCTATTATCAAATATTACCCCAATGGTCCTTCTTTTATGGGTACCATTCCACAAATAGTCCTTTTTTTGATCTTCTATCACGTTGGTGTTAATTTGAGGGCTAAAAGTGTAATTTTACAATGATAATACATTGTTTTTGTCATACACAATTCCATAGGCTGTTCCGTTTGCGTCGTTTGTCAATTACAGTCGCTTTTTACGACGATTATAGTCTACAAATGTGATCTTTCGTCAGAATCCTAACCCACAATCATAGTCATTATTTTTGTATTATCCGCTTAACCAATATCAGAACACGTCACTAGACATAATGTTGATGTCAAATTATACTTTTAGCCTTTAAATTAACACCAACGTGACAGAAGATCAAGAAAAGGACTATTTGTGGAAAGATACCTTTAAAAAAAGGACTACGGGGGTAATATTTGATAATAGAAGACTAAATAGAAAAACCCTCATATTATAAAGTACCAATTATAGAATTTACTCTTTATTTTGTATAATTGTATGATTAGAGCACTGGAAATGCCCATCACGCCCACCGCCGTGATACGGGCGTTTAACGCCTGGGGGCGTTAAACACCGCCCCCCTTCGGCGTGATTCGGGCGTGAGACATCCCGCGTCATTAGTTTGACGCGGCGTGATGCAACTTTTTGCCGGCTCCCCCCCTTCCCAACGGCTATATAGCCGTTACCCACCCCCAAAATAAAAAAAAATCTAAATTTAAAAAAAAACCCTATAAAATCCCCCTTTCTCATACATCTTTCTCACACCTCTCTCTCACACATCTCTCTTTATTACTTTATATTCTCTCAAAAATATTTATTATTTATTATAAATATTTATAAAATATAAATTAAAAATGGGTTCATCTTCCGAAGATGAAAGAAGAGCTTTATTTTTTCGTTGTTTCGCGACGAATTGTATTAAATGGTGGGAAGATGGCCAAGAAGAAGCCGAATCCTCCCGACGACGGACCCGACGCCAACGCTTAAACCGTGATCGAGAGGCCGCCCATGCTTCACTTCTAAACGACTACTTTAATAATCCGTGTGTTTATACCCCGGAAGATTTTAGTAATCGTTTTCGGATGAGTCGTCCTCTCTTCTTACGCATACTCGCCGATGTTGAACGCGAGGTTCCTTGGTTCACCCAACGATTTGATGCGAGAGGCCGACGCGGGTTTAGTAGCGTCCAGAAGTGCACTGCCGCGCTCTGTTAGTTGGCGTACGGGACGACATCTGATATGTTCGACGAATACTTGAAGAT